CTGACACCACCAAGTCAAGGGTTGAGATCCCCTTACCGGTCATCTTTAAAAAAAAAAAAAATGTTTACTAAAAGGAAACATTTATCCGTAGGGATTGCTCTGGGTTCTGCATTCTATAAGGACAGCATGGAAGCATTGCTATAATAAGAACTCTGTAATTACATAAACTGTACATTACCTTGGAATTTAACTGGACAGCCTCTTCGTTATAATGTAGGAGAGCTTTCTGACCCGAATGGGTGAGGTTCACAAACACCTGAAGACATGGGTACTTCCCCTGACCTTGGCAGTCCACACCACAGGTGAAAGCACAGTCCAGCCAGTCGTCCATGATGTGTGTTTGGATGGTAGTGCAGTTTGATTCTTCTCTGTGATTACTTCAATTTGAAAAAATAAATGTTCTAAATTTCTAATATGGTAGCCCAAAGCATTTGTCTATTCCCAGGTAATATAGGAGCATTACAGAAGGCACATAATGTTCAGGGAGCATGGAGGACAGAGAGGGTAAACAGCAGCAAATTGGCAAGTTCCGTCTGAATTCTGTTCCCTACAATATACCAACCTTTAGATCAATGGTTTTCAACTTCAAAATCACCTGAACGAGTTTGTTAGAATGAAGAATTTGTTAAAATGTGGATTCCAGGACTGCACTCCCAGAGATTCTGGTTCAGTAGGTCTGAGTTGAGACCCAGGAACCTGTATATTTAATAGTATTTAAGATGCAGATATTTGAAGACCCATACTGTAAGCAATGTTACCTTAAATACTGTAACACCACCAAGATCCACACTCATTCAGAAATCCCATCATCTCTCATGCCTCATTATGTCAAGATGCACTCATCTCAAGATGCACTCTGGCTTAGCGTGAGGAAAATGTGCCTTTGGGAGAAATCCAACTACAGGGCCTTTGGTCAACACAGCCTACAGAAGTTACGGTAACAAGATACCCACTCTACTTCCAAAGAGGCAAATGCAAATCATACAAAGACTCTCTCAGAATACTCACCACGTTTTTGCTATCAGTAAGTTTTTGAGGTCAGGAGCTACTTCTATTCATTTTTACATTCCTCAAAGCATACAGCACAATGCCTCTCACTTAGTAGAGGCTCAATAAGTGTTGTACTGAATTAAATTTTACTTGGAAAACGTTCCTTTAGAATTTGTACATGTACTATATACACAGAACGGCCTACGTGCTATGAGAAGTCGTAGACAAAATTCCTGCCATGAAGACCTTGTGGTGGTGGTGAGGAGAAAGACCATATATGTATGAAATTATCAGAGAACAAGTCCAGGATAAAGTAAATGAGAGTAAGAGAAGATGTTTTGATTGAATGTACATTGAGGGCCCTCACACTCACATCTGTGATCCCTGTGTTCATTTCCTGGTGCCTTAACAACACAAGAAGTTAAGTTAGCAAGCTCTAAAGTCAGATGTTTGTAAAGCTTTGTTTAACTAGGTTCATACCACACTCTTATTAATAGCTTTGACCATTTTTCTTTATTAATATAACTTGAGTCACA